CATCCCCCATATAGTAATTCATCCCCCATAGTAATTCATCCCCCATATAGTAATTCACCCCCATATAGTAATTCATCCCCCATATAGTAATTCATCCCCCCTATAGTAATTCATCCCCCATATAGTAATTCATCCCCCATAGTAATTCATCCCCCCTATAGTAATTCATCCCCCCTATAGTAATTCATCCCCCATATAGTAATTCATCCCCCATAGTAATTCATCCCCCATAGTAATTCATCCCCCATATAGTAATTCACCCCTCCTATAGTAATTCATCCCCCATATAGTAATTCATCCCCCCTATAGTAATTCATCCCCCATATAGTAATTCATCCCCCATAGTAATTCATCCCCCCTATAGTAATTCATCCCCATATAGTAATTCATCCCCCATATAGTAATTCATCCCCCCTATAGTAATTCATCCCCCATATAGTAATTCATCCCCCATATAGTAATTCATCCCCCATATAGTAATTCATCCCCCCTATAGTAATTCATCCCCCATATAGTAATTCATCCCCCATATAGTAATTCATCCCCCATATAGTAATTCATCCCCCCTATAGTAATTCATCCCCCATAGTAATTCATTCCCCATATTGTGTGAATTCACTTACCTTTGCTCCGCGCGTTCCTCTCGCTGGGTTCCCGCGCCGTTCTGGTCTTCAGGGCGGACTGTGAGAGGAGAGGAGTTCGTCACGCTGCCCCGCCTACATCCGTGCTGCCCCGCCTACATCCTGACAGCCAATGTTTGCCAGCGGGCGCCCGGCACACAGAAGATCTGCATTAAAAGAGCCGCGGCTTGCCGACCCTATTGCCTGTCACCTGGTGGGCAGTGTGCTCCGGAGCCGCAGGAAAGGTGAAAAAGAGCCGCATGCGGCTCCGGAGCCGCGGGTTGCCGACACCCGAACTAAGCTTTTTGTCATCTAATGGTCCTCTAAGGGGCGTGGCAGGGGGCGTGGCAGGGGGCGTATCCAATGTCTACATACATTTGCTAATAGGTGTTCCTCCTTCCCATCTCAGAAAGTTGGGAGGTGCGAGTTCCTGCTGGTCGGGATCCACTCTGGAATCTTGGATGGATTCCTTCTACTCTCTATACACTGTCAGATGTGATCCAGTTCCTACTGCTAGAGGTCCTGGACTGTCTAGATGGATCCAAGGGCAGCGACCAATGAGAAGGACTTGTTCATCCCAGCTTGTGGGATCCATTAGCCAATACCTTGTGGAAGAAGATTCAGAATTCTGCTTTAATCCTTGGGAAACAGATCTCTGGAGATCATTATTATCATCAGGGAGGCAATACAGGACCTTTAGAAGAGCAGATATGAAGAAGGGAACCCAGCCCATTGTTGCACCGTCGCCATGTTTCACAGTTCTTACCCAAAAGCTGGTTTGTGATTTTTATGTAAATAATTCATCAACATTTCCTCCTGACCAGATATGGTGCAGACAATTCTGAAAGTCTTGTGTGTGCCGGGATGTCGCCGCCATCCACCGTCTCCTGTAAATTCTGATCGTGTGTCAGGAAAGGAACATAAAGTGAATTTCCTGAACGTCTCAGAGATTTGTAGGGATCTGGGAGCCGAGTCGGGATTCTGGTTAAAGGAAGACCAGCGTGAAACATTACGGCTATTAAATTGCACAAACTCAATTTCCAGCCATTACAGACGGCGCTCCGTCATCTTCTCTGCACAATAAAATTCATGTTCTGTATCATTACCAAAACATTATGTTAGGGGACTCGGCCGCCAGGCGTAGCTCAGGGAGAGCTCAGGGTCCTGGAGAGGAGCGACGGAGATGTTCTGCAGCCACCAAAATCTACAATCCTTTGTCCTAAGTCCTCTGTACATACCGACTACAACATGCCTGGCGATCCCTACAACATACCGACTACAACATGCCTGGCGATCCCTACAACATACTGACTACAACATGCCTGGCGATCCCTACAACATACTGACTACAACATGCCTGGCGATCCCTACAACATACCGACTACAACATGCCCGGCGATCCCTACAACATACCGACTACAACATGCCTGGCGATCCCTACAACATACCGACTACAACATGCCCGGCGATCCCTACAACATACCGACTACAACATGCCTGGCGATCCCTACAACATACCGACTACAACATGCCTGGCGATCCCTACAACATACCGACTACAACATGCCCGGCGATCCCTACAACATGCCTGGCGATCCCTACAACATACCGACTACAACATGCCTGGCGATCCCTACAACATACCGACTACAACATGCCTGGCGATCCCTACAACATACTGACTACAACATGCCTGGCGATCCCTACAACATACTGACTACAACATGCCTGGCGATCCCTACAACATACTGACTACAACATGCCCGGCGATCCCTACAACATACCGACTACAACATGCCTGGCGATCCCTACAACATACCGACTACAACATGCCTGGCGATCCCTACAACATACCGACTACAACATGCCTGGCGATCCCTACAACATACCGACTACAACATGCCTGGCGATCCCTACAACATACCGACTACAACATGCCTGGCGATCCCTACAACATACCGACTACAACATGCCTGGCGATCCCTACAACATGCCTGGCGATCCCTACAACATACTGACTACAACATGCCTGGCGATCCCTACAACATACCGACTACAACATGCCTGGCGATCCCTACAACATACCGACTACAACATGCCTGGCGATCCCTACAACATACCGACTACAACATGCCTGGCGATCCCTACAACATGCCTGGCGATCCCTACAACATACCGACTACAACATGCCTGGCGATCCCTACAACATACCGACTACAACATGCCTGGCGATCCCTACAACATACCGACTACAACATGCCTGGCGATCCCTACAACATACCGACTACAACATGCCTGGCGATCCCTACAACATACCGACCAACAACAACATGCCTGGCGATCCCTACAACATACCGACTACAACATGCCTGGCGATCCCTACCAGATACCAACTACAACATGCCTGGCGATCCCTACAACATACCGACTACAACATGCCCGGCGATCCCTACAACATACCGACTACAACATGCCTGGCGATCCCTACAACATACTGACTACAACATGCCCGGCGATCCCTACAACATGCCTGGCGATCCCTACAACATACCGACTACAACATGCCTGCCGATCCCTACAACATACCTACTACAACATGCCTGGCGATCCCTACAACATACCGACTACAACATGCCTGGCGATCCCTACAACAACATACCGACTACAACATGCCTGGCGATCCCTACAACATACCGACTACAACATGCCTGGCGATCCCTACAACATACCAACTACAACATGCCCAGCGATCCCTACAACATACCGACTACAGCATGCCCGGCGATCCCTACAACATACCAACTACAACATGCCCAGCGATCCCTACAACATACCGACTACAACATGCCTGGCGATCCCTACAACATGCCGACTACAACATGCCCGGCGATCCCTACATGTCCGGCGATCCCTACAACATGCCCGGCGATCCCTACATGTCCGGCGATCCCTACAACATACCGACTACAACATGCCCGGCGATCCCTACAACATGCCCAGCCCTGGGAGAGAACACAGAGGGAAGGGTCCAATCACAGGGGACGATGGGAGGGAACACAGAGGGAAGGGTCCAATCACAGGGGACGATGGGAGGGAACACAGAGGGAAGGGACCAATCACAGGGGATGATGGGAGGGAACACAGAGGGAAGGGACCAATCACAGGGGATGATGGGAGGGAACACAGAGGGAAAGGACCAATCACAGAGGACGATGGGAGGGAACACAGAGGGAAGGGACCAATCACAGAGGACGATGGGAGGGAACACAGAGGGAAGGAACCAATCACAGGGGACGATGGGAGGGAACACAGAGGGAAGGGACCAATCACAGGGGATGATGGGAGGGAACACAGAGGGAAGGGACCAATCACAGGGGACGATGGGAGGGAACACAGAGGGAAGGGACCAATCACAGGGGACGATGGGAGGGAACACAGAGGGATGGCAGTTATGGTTCAGTATAATTGTCCTCCTATAGGACATTCTGTCAGGGACTGTACTCCGTGTTTTATGGACAGAGCATTGCCTGAGGGTATCTACATCTAAAAACTAAAATGTCATATTGAGGTGACTGCATTTGTTTTCTTTTTGTATATTTTTCTTCTTTTTTTTACCCAGTGATCCTGCAAATAACGCACAGCCAAGGCAAGACATAGCCGAACAGGACAACACAGAGCCAAGAAATGGCCGAACAGGACAACGAACAGCAAAGGAATGGCCGAACAGGACAACGAACAGCCAAAGGAAACCCACCAATGGCCCGACCGCGCCGAACAGGACAACACAGAGACGATGCCCAGGAAGAAAAATGCCGAACAGGGACAACGCACAGCCAAGGACCATGGCAGCCGAACAGGACAACACAGACAGAGCCAAGAAATGGCCGAACAGGATACAACGAAAAGGCCAGCCATGGAATGGCATCCGAACAGGACAACGAACAAAAGAAGGCCCCGAATGGGCCGAACAGGACAACACAGAGCCAAGAAATGGCCGGACAGGACAACACGGAGCCGTAAGGACCACATGAACAGACCCTCTGGACCTGAATACAGATGAACACGGAGCCAAATCACCCTTCCCTGGTCATGCGGTACAGATGGCCCGAACAGGGACAACAGCACAGCCAGATTTCGGGAAACTGTAACTATAATGTAGGGTGAATCGGGCAGTATGTGACAACTGTGAGAAGATGAGAGGCAAGAAAGAGAGACAATCATTTACAAGTAGAGATGAGAAGGAAGTATTCAAAAATTCGATTCGATACTGATTCGGCGTATCTACGTTGTGAAAAAAAATTTTGATTCGAGGTCGAATATTTTCGCTGCGAAATTTAACTTATAAAAAGGGTGTTTGTAGGAGATCGCTTCAGAGAGCCTTTATATTAGTGCAGAACACTGTACCTTTAATTTAAAAACAAGCCACCTTGCAGTCTGCTGGGGAAAGAGAAATAATACTGTCAGCAGTATGACATGCAGCAATGAGTGCCGTCCATCTTAGAATCATCCGGACACACTTCACTCATTTGGCCAGTCACGGGGCCAAAACCAGAGTGTGGAGTGCACAGTGTGGCGAGTGTGGAGGGCATTAGGGCCTGCAGCAGCTGGGAGGCCCATACAGCACCCTATGACAAAATGGAAACCACCAGCAGTGTGAGGAGACCTGGAAAGTGGCACATGGCAGAGATGTGGCGATGGAGACAGCAGCAATGGGAGGCCGTACAGGGACCCATGACAACACTCTGGACCTGGCAGCAGCATGAGGACGGCGGTACAGGGGCCCATGGCAGATTACGGGCCTGGCAGCAGCATGAGGAGGCCAGTACATCTGGCCCATGGCACCCTTACAAAAAATTCTAACCTGTCTGGCAGCAGCATGAGGAGTCGGTAACAGGGGCCATGGCAGAGGGCCTGAGGCGACAGGGGCCTGGAATTACGGGCCTGGCAGCAGCAATGGGAGGCCGTACAGGGACCCATGACAACACTCTGGACCTGGCAGCAGCATGAGGAGGGCGGTACAGGGGCCCATGGCACAGATTAGCGGGCCTGGCAGCAGCAGGACAGGAGGACGTTCAGTTTCAGCACCGTCGTATGGTGCGTGGCACTCAAAACTGTTGTCTCTTGGAAACAGGATTCCAAGAAAGACTGCTGAACGTGAATCAGCCGTGAAGAGGATGCAGGAGAGTGGCGATGGAGAAGCGAGCATGGCAGAGTGTGGCGTACAGGACAACAAGCGACAACAGGGAGGCCCCAGGCAGGGGCCCATGTCAGAAGATTACGTGCCTGGCGTCAGCAGCATGAGGAGTCGGTACGAGAGACTCTGGACCTGGCAGCAGCATGACGGCAGTATTGGGGCCCATGGCAGATTAGGGGCCTGGCAGCAATCCTGGGAGGCCCGTAATCTGCCAGCACCCTATGTCAAAAAATTCAACACACCAGCAGTGTGAGGAGACACTGAAAGTGGCACATGGCAGAGTGTGGCGATGGAGAGACAGCAGCAATGGGAGGCCGTACAGGGACCCATGAGAGACTCTGGACCTTGGCAGCAGCATGAGGCAGGCGGTATATAGGGGCCCATGGCAGATTAGGGGCCTGGCAGCAGCTATGGGAGGCCCGTAATCTGCCAGCACCTTATGTCAAAAAATTCTACAGTACACACCAGCAGTGTGTGAGGAGACCTGAAAGTGGCACATGGCAGAGTGTGTGGCGATGGAGACAGCAGCAATGGGAGGCCGTACAGGGACCCATGAGAGACTCTGGACCTGGCAGCAGCATGAGGAGGCGGTATAGGGGGCCCATGGCAGATTAGGGGCCTGGCAGCAGCTATGGGAGGCCCGTAATCTGCCAGCACCCCTATGTCAAAAAATGGAACACACACCAGCAGTGTGTGAGGAGACCTGAAAAGTGGCACATGGCAGAGTGTGGCGATGGAGACAGCAGCAATGGGAGGCCGTACAGGGACCCATGAGAGACTCTGGACTTTGGCAGCAGCATGAGGAGGCGGAGTATGTATAGGGGCCCATGGCAGATTAGGGGCCTGTGGCAGCAGCTATGGGAGGCCCGTAATCTGCCACACCATATGTCAAAAAATTCTAACACACCAGCAGTTGTGTGAGGAGACCTGAAAGTGGCACATGGCAGAGTGTGGCGATGGAGACAGCAGCAATGGGGAGGCCGTACAGGGACCCATGAGAGACTCTGGACCTTGCAGCAGCATGAGGAGGCGGTGGTATAGGGGCCCATGGCAGATTAGGGGCCTGGCAGCAGCTATGCGGAGGCCCGTAATCTGCCAGCACCCTATGTCAAAAAATTCTAACACACCAGCAGTGTGAAGGAGACCTGAAAGTGGCACATGGCAGAGTGTGGCGATGGAGATGAGCAGCAATGAGAGGTAGTGTCAGGGGACCCATGAGAGACTCTGGACTTGGCAGCAGCATGAGGAGGCGGTATAGGGGCCCATGGCAGATTAGGGGCCTGGCAGGCAGCTATGGGAGGCCCGTAATCTGCCAGCACCCTATGTCAAAAAATTCTCTAACACACCAGCAGTGTGTGAGGGACCTGAAAGTGGCACATGCAGAGTGTGGCGATGGAGACAGCAGCAATGGGAGGCCGTACAGGGACCCATGAGAGACTCTGGACCTGGCAGCAGCATGAGGAGGCGGTATAGGGCCCATGGCAGATTAGGGGCCTGGCAGCAGCTTAAATAGGAGGCCCGTAATCTGCCAGCACCCTATGTCAAAAAATTCTACACAGCAGCAGTGTGATGGAGACCTGAAAGTGGCACATGGCAGAGTGTGTGGCGATGGAGACAGCAGCAATGGGAGGCCGTACAGGGACCCATGACAGACTCTGGACCTGGCAGCAGCATGAGGAGGCGGTATATAGGGGCCCATGGCAGATTAGGGGCCTGGCAGCAGCTATGGGGAGGAGGCCCGTAATCTGCCAGCACCCTATGTCAAAAAATTCAACACACCAGCAGTGTGAGGAGACACTGAAAGTGGCACATGGCAGAGTGAGTGTGGCGATGGAGACAGCAGCAATGGGAGGCCGTTGTCACAGGGACCCATGAGGACTCTGGACCTGGGCAGCAGCATGAGGAGGGCGGTATATAGGGGCCTATGGCAGATTAGGGGCCTGGCAGCAGCTATGGGAGGCCCGTAATCTGCCAGCACCCTATGTCAAAAAATTGAACACACCAGCAGTGTGAGAGAGACCTGAAAGTGGCACATGGCATGAGAGATGGAGACAGCACAATGGGCAGGGACCCATGCAGACCTGAGGAGGCGGGGAGGCGGGTAATATAGGGGCCCATGGCAGATTAGGGGCCGGCAGCAGCTATGGGAGGCCCGTAATCTGCCAGCACCCTATGACAAAAATTTCTACACACCAGCAGTGTGAGGAGACCTGAAAGTGGCACATGGCAGAGTTGTGGCGATGAGACAGCAGCAATGGGAGGCCGGTAGGGGCAGGGTCAGAACCCTGGATGGTTTAGACTCTGGACTACATCAGCAGAGTGAGGCGGTACAGCATGAGAGCCCCATGGGAGATTAGGGGCCCTGGCAGCAGCTATGGGAGGCCCGTACTGCCAGCACCCTATGTCAAAAAAATTCCTAAAAACACTGGCAGCAGTGTGAGGAGACCTGAAAGTGGCACATGGCAGAGCAGGAGGCGATGTATGACAGCATAGCACGGGAATCCAGCCGCTACAGGGGCACACAATGAGAGGTACTCTGGTATAGCCTGTACAGCAGCATGAGGAGGCGGTATTAGGGGCCTATGGCAGATTAGGGGCCTGGCAGCAGCTTTGGAGGCCCTACACTGCCAGCACCCCCCTGCCAAAAAAAAAATTCTACACACCAGCAGTGTGTGAGGAGCCGAGACCTGAAAGTGGCGACATGTTTGAGGCATGATTCATGGCTGATTTAGTGTCAGTTGTGTCAGGAACTGGTGGTTTGAAATCCAGACAATCCACGCCTGATTCTGCATTTTCACAAACGTGAGTCTCTCCACACTTTGGGTGGACAGTCGTCGTCCTCCGGGGAGTTACAATACCTCCGCACTAAACCAATACGCTACTGGCCGGGAGGCGGGCATGACAGCCTTTCAAGGGCAAATTCAGCTAGTTGGGGCCAAAGGTCAAGTTTCGTTGCCCAGTAGTCAAGGGGATTGTCTACCTCGGATTGGCAGGGTGCTGTCCAAGTAGGCCCAAGCCTGTTGTTTGAGGTCCTGCTCCAGGTCCACCTGATGCTGCTGCTGCTGCTTCGCTGCTGCTGCTGCTGCTGGTTAGTAGTTTCCTCACTGCGCTGGTGAAGAAAGCTACTCATCATCGACTGCAGACTGAGGCAGCCGCTGCTGGTGGAGCTGCCAACTGCTCCTCCACCCCCCCCCCCCCCCTGCTGCCATGGCAGCGGAACGCGAGCGCACAGGGCCCACAGTGTCTGAGGATGGACGTTGGCGCACAAAGGCAGAGACCAACTGACTACATAGGTGGTTTTTATAGTACGTTATTTTGGCCTCCCCCTCTCAGCAGGTGTGAAAAAGGGCCACCATTTTTGAACGGTAGCGAGGGTCCAACAAGGTGGACAGCCAAAAGTCATCCCTCTGTCTGATGGTTATTATTCGGCTGTCGCTACGCAAGCAACCGAGCATGCTATGGGCCATTTGTGCCAAGGAATGCGAGGGACTCCCTGCCTCCATCTCCACAGCATACTGCCACGGTGCGTCTGGGTCCTCTGTCTCCTCCTCCTCCTCTCTACCAGATGCTCCTGCTCCTCCACTCCTGTCCGCTGAGTGGAAAAACCACCCATTTCACTCAATAATTCCTGAGCACCAATGTCCTCCTCTACCTCCTCCTCTTCTTCCTGTCCTGCCCCCACAGGGGTCATGTGGCGTTGAGATCTGTGCGCCACGTCTACCGCACCCTGACCAGCCATTGTTAACAGCATTTGTTCCAGGACGTGCAACAGAGGAATGACGTCGTTCATCCCCATAGTCCTGCCGACTCACGAATAGCGTGGCCTCCTCAAAGGGCCTGAGCAAGCGGCAGGTGTCACGCATGAGCTGCCAATGGCTGACATCGAAGTTACACAGGGGGAGTACCTTTATCCGCTTGTAACATCAGGAAATCGGTGATGGCCTTTCGCTGCTCGTAAAGGCGGTCTAACATGTGTAGGGTTGAATTCCACCTTGTTGCAACGTCGCAGATCAGGCGAATGCTGTGGAATTCCGTTCTGCCGCTGCAGCTCAAGGAGGGTGTGCTTTGCGGTGTAGGAATGGCTGAAATGCATGCAAAGTTTACGTGACATTTTAAGGATGTCTTGCAGTGGGATGGTGGATTTTTTAGGAACCGCTTGACAACCAGATTGAACACGTGAGCCATGCATGGCGCATGGCACAACCTTCCTTGACACAGAGCAGACACCATGTTCTTTCCGTTGTCGGTCAACATGGTTCCGATTTTCAGTTTGCGCGGAGACAGCCATCTGTCGATTTCTCTGTTCATTACACTCAGAAGTTCCTCCCCTGTGTGACTACGTTCGCCTGGACCTGGGCAGCAGCATGAGGAAGCGGTATATGGATAGGGGCCCATGGCAGATTAGGGGCCTGGCAACAGCAATAGGAGGCCCATAATCTGCCAGCACCCTATGTCAAAAAATTCAACACACCAGCAGTGTGAGGAGACCTGAAAGTGGCACATGGCATGAGACACTGTGGACCTGGCAGCAGCATGAGGAGGCGGTATAAAGGGGCCCATGGCAGATTAGGGGCCTGGGCAGCATCTATGGGAGGCCCGTAATCTGCCAGCACCCTATGTCAAAAAATTCTACACACCAGCAGTGTGGAGACCTGAAAGTGGCACATGGCAGAGTGTGGCGATGGAGACAGCAGCAATGGGAGGCCGTACAGGGACCCATGAGAGACTCTGGACTTGGCAGCAGCATGAGGAGGCGGGTATAGGGGCCCATGGCAGATTAGGGGCCTGGCAGCAGCAATGGGAGGCCCGTAATCTGCCAGCACCCTATGTCAAAAAATTCGACACACCAGCAGTGTGTGAGGAGACCTGAAAGTGGCACATGGCAGAGTGTGGCGATGGAGACAGCAGCAATGGGAGGCCGTACAGGGACCCATGAGAGACTCTGGACCTGGCAGCAGCATGAGATGGCGGTATATAGGGGCCTATGGCAGATTAGGGCCTGGCAGCAGCTATAGGAGGCCCATAATCTGCCAGCACCCTATGTCAAAAAATTCAACACACCAGCAGTGTGTGAGGAGACCTGAAAGTGGCACATGGCATGAAATGGCCGCTGTAGTCCCCAACATGGGCCCCCTGGCCACGCTTGACTTTCTGGCCACATAGTCGACATACGGCTACGTTTACTTCCTCGGGCGGCTTGACGAAAAATTGCCACACCGCCGAGTAGGAAACTTTGCCCCCGATACTCCTCACTGGCTGACTGTGCTGCTGCCTTCCTCCGTGCACACCGGCACCACTACTGGCCGTGGTGGTAGGCTGCAGTGGAGCTGGTGCTCTACTCTACTCCGTGGCCGTTTGGCTCCACTGACACTGCTTCCACTGGGGCACTGGCTGCGACCCTGCTGCTGTCTCCTGGGCAACCCACCGACTGTTTCGCTCACTGCCAAGCTGCCACCCTCTTCTCCTGATGATGCGGAAAGAAATTGCCTGATGACGACGAGGCTGCCAAGTGCGATCAACCTCCTCATCATCAAGTAGGGTCTCCGCCTCACTACTACTAGCCCCCTCGGCTGCGTCTGGGTCAGGAGACAGACCTGTCTCTAGACCGGCTACCGGGCCACTCTCCTCGCCACTACTTCTTCGCCTGGCTGCTGAAAAGGCGGATGTCTCCCCCCGTTCCTGACCGCCCTCTGTTAGCTCTTCCTCACTGTACAGTGGGGCTGAGCCCACAGCATGCGATACTTCGCTTGGTGTTGGGCTGAGGGAACACCAAAGGACAGGGGCAGGTCGAGGACACGTGATTTCTGGGTCAGTGGGCTTGCTCCCGGGCCATGCCAACTAACCGTTGTGTCTGACGTACCCACCGACCGTTGGCTGTAGGTGTCAGAGGTGACCTGGGAAGAGGAAGACGACCGAGCCAACCAATCGACGACGGCAGGGTTGTCGGTGGAGACACGACCACTGGATGACACCGGGAGCAATGGCCTCTGGCTGCGACTAGTGCTGCCTCGACCCCTTCCTCTGCTGCCACGTCTGCTCACGTCCTAAAACATTGCCTCCTCTGCCACTCCTCTGCATGTTGTCTGACATACTCTTTAATTAAACGATTATGTGTCCCTGAGTAACAATTCTGTGTCCCTGAGTAACAATTCTGTGGCCCTAAGTAACAGTTCTGTGGCCCTCAGTAACAGTTCTGTGTCCCTGTGTAACAATTCTGTGTCTGTGCGAGTAACAATTCTGTGTGGCCCTAAGTAACAGTTCTGTGTCCCTGTGTAACAATTCTGTGTCTGTGCGAGTAACAATTTTGTGGCCCTAAGTAACAGTTCTGTGGCCCTCAGTAACAATTCTGTGTCCCTGATTAACATTTCTGTGGCCCCAAGTAACAGTTCTGTGTCCCTGTGTAACAATTCTGTGTCTGTGCGAGTAACAATTCTGTGGCCCTAAGTAACAGTTCTGTGGCCCTCAGTAACAATTCTGTGTCTGTGCGAGTAACAATTCTGTGGCCCTAACAGTTCTGTGGCCCTCAGTAACAATTCTGTGTCCCTGATTAACGTTTCTGTGGCCCCAAGTAACAGTTCTGTGGCCCTCAGTAACAATTCTGTGTCTGTGCGAGTAACAATTCTGTGTCTGTGCGAGTAACAATTCTGTGGCCCTAAGTAACAGTTCTGTGGCCCTCAGTAACAATTCTGTGTCCCTGATTAACGTTTCTGTGGCCCCAAGTAACAGTTCTGTGGCCCCAGTAACAATTCTGTTCTGTGGCCCCCTCAGTAACAATTCTGTGTCCCTGATTAACGTTTCTGTGGCCCCAAGTAACAGTTCTGTGGCCCTCTGTGTCTGTGCGAGTAACAATTCTGTGTCTGTGCGAGTAACAATTCTGTGGCCCTAAGTAACAGTTCTGTGGCCCTCAGTAACAATTCTGTGTCCCTGATTAACGTTTCTGTGGCCCCAAGTAACAGTTCTGTGGCCCTCAGTAACAATTCTGTGTCTGTGCGAGTAACAATTCTGTGGCCCCCTAAGTAACAGTTCTGTGGCCCTCAGTAACAATTCTGTGTCCCTGATTAACAGTTTCTGTGCCCTGTGCAGTAACAATTCTGTGTGGCCCTCAGTAACAATTCTGTGTCTGTGCGAGTAACAATTCTGTGGCCCCAAGTAACGTGCGAGTAACAATTCTGTGGCCCTAAGTAACAGTTCTGTGGCCCTCAGTAACAATTCTGTGTCCCTGATTAACGTTTCTGTGGCCCCAAGTAACAGTTCTGTGGCCTCAGTAACAATTCTGTGTCTGTGCGAGTAACAATTCTGTGTCTGTGCGAGTAACAATTCTGTGGCCCTAAGTAACAGTTCTGTGGCCCTCAGTAACAATTCTGTGTCCCTGATTAACGTTTCTGTGGCCCCAAGTAACAGTTCTGTGGCCCTCAGTAACAATTCTGTGTCTGTGCGAGTAACAATTCTGTGTCTGTGCGAGTAACAATTCTGTGGCCCTAAGTAACAGTTCTGTGGCCCTCAGTAACAATTCTGTGTCCCTGATTAACATTTCTGTGGCCCCAAGTAACAGTTCTGTGGCCCTCAGTAACAATTCTGTGTCTGTGCGAGTAACAATTCTGTGTCTGTGCGAGTAACAATTCTGTGGCCCTAAGTAACAGTTCTGTGGCCCTCAGTAACAGTTCTGTGTCCCTGAGTAACAATTCTGTGTCTGTGCGAGTAACAATTCTGTGTCTGTGCGAGTAACAATTCTGTGGCCCTAAGTAACGGTTCTGTGGCCCTCAGTAACAATTCTGTGTCCCTGATTAACGTTTCTGTGGCCCCAAGTAACAGTTCTGTGGCCCTCAGTAACAATTCTGTGTCTGTGCGAGTAACAATCTGTGTCTGTGCGAGTAACAATTCTGTGGCCCTAAGTAACAGTTCTGTGGCCCTCAGTAACAGTTCTGTGTCCCTGAGTAACAATTCTGTGTCTGTGCGAGTAACAATTCTGTGGCCCTCAGTAACAATTCTGTGTCCCTGATTAACAATTCTGTGGCCCCAAGTAACAGTTCTGTGGCCCTCAGTAACAATTCTGTGTCCCTGATTAACATTTCTGTGGCCCCAAGTAACAGTTCTGTGGCCCTCAGTAACAATTCTGTGTCTGTGCGAGTAACAATTCTGTGTCTGTGCGAGTAACAATTCTGTGGCCCTAAGTAACGGTTCTGTGGCCCTCAGTAACAGTTCTGTGTCCCTGTGTAACAATTCTGTGTCTGTGCGAGTAACAATTCTGTGGCCCTAAGTAACGTTTCTGTGGCCCTCAGTAACAGTTCTGTGGCCCTCAGTAACAATTCTGTGTCTGTCCCTGAGTAACAATTCTGTGGCCCTAACTAAAGTTTCTGTGGCCCTAAGTAACAATTCTCTGGCACTCAGTAACAATTCTGTCTGTCCCTGAGTAACAATTCTGTGGCCCTAAGTAACGTTCTGTGGCCCTCAGTAACAGTTCTGTGCCCTCAGTAACAATTCTGTGTCTGTCCCTGAGTAACAATTCTGTGGCCCTAACTAAAGTTTCTGTGGCCCTAAGTAACAATTCTCTGGCACTCAGTAACAATTCTGTCTGTCCCTGAGTAACAATTCTGTGGCCCTAAGTAACGGTTCTGTGGCCCTCAGTAACAGTTCTGTGGCCTCAGTAACAATTCTGTGTCTGTCCCTGAGTAACAATTCTGTGGCCCTAACTAAAGTTTCTGTGGCCCTAAGTAACAATTCTCTGGCACTTTAACAATTCTGTCTGTCCCTAGTAACAATTCTGTGGCCCTAAGTAACAATTCTCTGGCACTGAGTATGAATTCTGTGGCCCTAACTAGCGTTTCTTTTTCCCTAAGTAACGATTCTGTGGCCCTAATTAACAAGTCTGTGTCCCTAAGTATCGTTTCTCTGTCCCCAATTATCGTTTCTGTGGCCCTAACTCTGTCCCTGTCCCTAGTACAGAGCGGTCTGCCTCTGTTCAATGACTGGAGGCAAATGAAGAATTCCAAAATGGCCGCTATTTATAGCTCGACCATTACACAGTGCTAGCTGGCTGGCTGCTGATTGGCTGATGCGATCACATGTCGTTGAGGAATGCATTATGGGTCAGCGCGCCTTGTCTGCGCGCCTTCCCAGACATCCCCGCTCCGTCGCCGCACATGTCAGCCGCCATTTTCGGAAAAATTTCGATTCGCGCGTCCGAATTAGGCTATTTTTCGGATTCGGCGCGATTTTTCCGATATTCGACTCGAATTCCACTTCGGATACTTCCATCTCTAAGTACAAGATGTGGGAAAAAAAAAACGAATCATTGTGATAACATGAGCCTAATACACCAGAAGGCAATAACGTGGGTGGGAGATGGGCAATGATCTCTATGATTGGGCAATGATCTCTATGATTGGGCAATGATCTCTATGATTGGGCAATGATCTCTATGATTGGGCAATGATCTCTATGACTGGGCAATGATCTCTATAACTGGGCAATGATCTCTATAACTGGGCCAATGATCTCTATGATTGGGCCATGATCTCTATGACTGGGCAATGATCTCTATGATTGGGCCATGATCTCTATGATTGGGCCATGATCTCTATGATTGGGCAATGATCTCTATAACTGGGCCATGATCTCTATGATTGGGCAATGATCTCTATGATTGGGCAATGATCTCTATAACTGAGCAATGATCTCTATGGTTGGGCCATGATCTCTATGATTGGGCAATAATCTCTATGACTGGGCAATGATCTCTATGGTTGGGCCATGATCTCTATGATTGGGCAATGATCTCTATGATTGGGCAATGATCTCTATGACTGGGCAATGATCTCTATGATTGGGCAATGATCTCTATGATTGGGCCATGATCTCTATGATTGGGCAATGATCTCTAT